GAGATTTTCATTCTCTGCCTCTTGCAAGCAGTGCTATTAGATTCTTGCTGTGATGTTTCCTTTTACCATCAAGGACTGCATTCCTTTTCTTGTTGACTTTGGTCAGTATTTCTCTTGAAAATGTAAACTGTTGTCTTCAACTATTTTAATATTCATTAGAAAAGAAAAGGATTATCTTATTAATCTATAAGTTTGGAAAGATGACAATTATGAAGTAGTACAGAACTTAAATACTTGAGAAATCTGTAATTTATTCTCTTTTGTCATTTGATTTATTTTTTTTTTTTTGTTCTGCAGCTGTAATACATTGAAAAACTTGTGTTTATAATTTCATGGCTGTTAAAAGCGTTATCATTGTTATTATTATTCATTACTCCAAATTCAGTTAATTTCCACTTACTGGTCTGCCACTCTCTCTCATATCTTTTGCTGGCTAATAGGAAGAAGAAATATTTTTTCTTTCAAATTTGGCCTAGAGATTAGAAATGTGATTTCCATTATATGTATGGATGTCAGGATGAGGAAGAGTGTAACTTGAAAGTTTTACTCTCATTTGTTAATGGTGTTAGGTTTTGATCAATATCACTTTCAGTAAATGGTGTCTATGTTAAATATCATAGGTATACAAATTCTAGATTCTCCCTGATTTGTTTGAAGGCTTGGTATTTTATAAAGCATTAGTTTACCTAAGTTTCTTGAGGATGATAATGCTGTTTATTGAATATAAGGTTTGCACTGTACATTCAAAGTGAGTTGACACAAAAGCACTGGATTTCTTAATTTCTTAGATGCTGTGTACCAGTTCTACATACAGTACACACAGAGTACAGTAGGCTTGGCAAGCATCTATCTGTATTTATTGAAACATGGGTTAAATTACAGTGCAGTTGTTCCAGTTGCCAAAAAAAAGGGTGGAGAAGAAAAGTAAAGAACTCAGTAGCTCAAACTAAAGTCTTTTACCTTGAATGTGTCCTGACCTGTGGGTGAAGTTGCGTGATGGTGTCTTTTCCTCAGAACACTTGCTTTATGCAGTGTTTTGATCAGATGCTCTCTTAGAACAATTAGTTTTGTGAAGCCACATACGGTGTTGTTTGTAAGATCGCTGGTTTGTAGGGGTTTTTTTGCTGCTACATGAAGTCAATGAAGCAGAGAGTTCAGAAGGATCATTCTATAATGTATATGGTTGCATGTTGTCTTACACTACGGTTCCACCATCAGTGGTGAGCAGGATGTCCCTATGTGCCCCCCCCAGCCCCGGGTGCTGGCATGGCACACACGGACACAGTGAGTCGGATTGAGGAACTGATGGAGACTGAAACTGTGGCAGGAAACAGAAGAAACAGGAATATATTGGTGAAGTGCCCAGTCAGATTCATTGGGTAACCACATCAGCTCCTGTCCTGGCTCAAAGGAGGGGAGGTGTTGCAAAGCTGAGGTAAGGAGAGAGTTGGCTCTGGGAGCAATATTGCCTCTAAGAGCCTGCACACACGGATGGTGGTGACTGCTACGGTGTGTTTGTGTGGCTGCAGGGGTGAGGAGAGGGCAAACTGGAGTCTGTGTCCTGTAGCCTTCTGTATGGAGACAGATACCTGTATTAAATAGACCCTGCCAGTAAATACTTACTTGTTCCTTATTTACTGGATACCTTAATTTATACAAATGTTTATCATTCTCAGCTTACAGCTGAAAGCTTCCAGAGCTGTCCTGTAGCACGCAAAGTGCTGTATAGTGCTAAGCACTATGAAAAGTGGGCACATGGTGTTAGTGGACACTTTGTCTTCAGTCCTCCTGTGCCAGGATGGAATGGGAGCAGTGGTCCCTCAGGTGTGGTGGCCATGGAGCTGGGAGTGCTGAGAGGCTCCAGGAGTTGCAGGGAAGGGCCAGGCCTGGGGCCGTGGCTCCAAAGATGAACAGAAAAATGTTTTGGTGATGCCTGGTGGGCGAGTACCTTGTACTAAATGACCTAGTGACTAAAAGACTTAAAAAAAATATAAAAAAAATTAAAAAAAATTAAAAAAAAAATTAATTCTGGACTACAACATAAAGTATGTACTGACCAGGACCAAATACAAGTTTTCTGCATGATGTGGATGTTGCAGTTCTCTGGCTTTTATAGGCTTGCAGCTGTGGTATTCCATTTCTATCATTGCTGCATGTGTAATCTATAACCTTCATCTCAGAAACACGACTCATTAATTAATCATTAACAAGGGCAAGACATGTGACAGCATGAAGTGTGCCAGATCCTCACTCAAAGTTTTTAAGTGTCTGACTGCTTATAGATCCCATCTCAGCAGCACTGGCAGATGCTCTATAATGACCTGATCTTGCAGCTTATAGTGAATTTATGGATTTTTATATCAAGTACTCCAGTGGCACTCAAAGTCATTTACAACCTTTCTTTACATTTAATTAACCCCCTTTGCACTCTTAGGAGGTACACAGTCACTGTGGTTAGCAGCGCTCTTGGGATCAGCTGAAAAGTAAAGGGCAGGAGGGAGGGTGGCCCCAGTGTGGTCAGTATTTGTACAGATCGGTACCCACTGGAGTATTTAAATCTTTACATCCGCCCCATTTTCCTTGATGTTGAGAGGGACTATGGGACCGTGTGACCCCTGCTGGGGTGGAGCCTCCTGTGCTGGGGCTGTTGTGGAGCCCGTTGGAGCAAATAGATGCTTCTCCAGGTACGAGAAAGCAGGGGAACAGGGAAATAACTACTTAGAAAAAAATTAAATGTTGTCATTAGACAGTGATTAATTGGGAGGGAGACAGAGTCTCTCAGACTCCAGAAATGCTCAGTGTCAGTGATGGGCCGGTACATGGGACGTGCTCTCTCCTTTGAGAAATATTGTGCTCTATTTTGTGCTGCTTGTGTAGTATCTGCTGAAATTATTTTTAAAGAACCTGGCTTTATTTGTTATTGTAAGAGAAGTCTAAAAGGAACAATTCCATCCTATCTGTTTTTCTCTGTTTTTCTTGCTTAGCTTTGTGTATTTGTAAATGCTGGTAGATGTATACAGATACTTCTCAGCTGCCCTCTTACACAAAGAGACATCAAAGTAAAAAACCTGCTGCGGTGGGTGAGGGGCTCCGCGGGCTGATGGCACCTCCTGGGGAAGGACCTGCACGGCATGTTTTGCGCCGTGGCTCAGGCCTAAGCAGGAGCCCTGTGCACGCCAATGATTTTGGCTTTCAGAGTCATTATTTTGGCTATCAAAGTCAAAATAGTTCTCAGCTTCAGCTGGGAGTGGCCACCACACGTCTTTCTTTTAGGCGACAGCTCCCCATAATTGGTTTTAAAAGCCTGTATAACATGATCTTTCTTGAGGATTTGAAGATGATCCTACACATCTGGTTGCCAGTCTTTGCACAAGTCTGACTGGAAGCAGATTTTAGCTCTCACAAATTACTTACTGTTCTTTTTCTTGATAGATTATCAGTGTTTGTATCTCAGTGTAACCTGTTGCTGCTCTTATGCATGTTTCTGGTGCAAATTCAGCAGTTCCTGAAATAGTGATAACAAACAGGGAAGGTATAAAAGAATTAGCAATTATAAGCGAATACTGTAAATGGCACAGAATTACCAAGGCAGGAGGTATGTAATAGAAGTGTAATTTGCATTGAGGCATAGGTTGATAGGATTGCACAAAAGAAAGTAAGCATAATAGTGAAAATAAGGAGATTATGAAAGTAAAGACTGCATTCCAACCCTTAATTAGTGAGGTTATCTGAATTTGAGCTTTCGCATTTGCGAATTAAAAGCACTGGGTTTTTTCTCCACATTGATTCATATTCTTAGAAGATCTTATGCCGTGATTCTGGCCTTAAAGATTTTACATGATACTAATGTACAATGTGTATCGAATTCTTTGTCTTACTTAAATAATTGATGCTTTATGGAAAGCTGTTGGCCTGAAATACAATTATGCCTATTCATTTCCAGGGAGATAGACCTCAGCAGTTAAGTAGTGCTAGTACATCAAGCTTCTTTTTTAACCAAAAATAAGTACCGTTAATTTAAATTCAGTGAAAGCAATAGATGAAGCTGGCGGTGTTAAATACTCTCAATGTTAAAAGAAAATTGCTTAAAAGTTGCATGCTTAACAGTGGATAGCATTTGCTTTTCTTTACGGGTTTTTGTATGTATTTATGAAATATTTGGCTCTAGTGTTGATGGTTTGCTTGTCTGATCCCACCTCCAGCTTGTGGTGATTTTTCACTTTTTGCGTGGGTGGGTATCAACTGTTCGAATGTCTTTGGCAGCATGACCAATCACTTCTTCACCATTATTTCTTATTGTTCAATTTCATAATGCAAGGTGAAACCTATGTTTTTTCCAAGTCATCTTATATATAGTTGAGGCTCTACCTGGGTCATTTAATTGACCAGGTGAAAAAAAAATAAAAATCAATTGCTGAGGCTGTTGATGTATTAGGTAATTTTTCTTTTCTAAAAATACTTTTGAGGATAATGACAATTCTGAAAAAAAATGTGGAAACCAACAGGTAGTATAAAGTATTGCGTACTGAGAAAGAAAGGAATACATTTACAGGGAAGCAACAAGTGGTCTATGAAGTGGTGACATCTAAGAGTACTTTAATTTTAAACTTTTTGCAGTGGAGATATGTGGAGGAAAAAAAAGTCTTGATCCAAAAGTTGTTGGAATACTCCAATATCATAATGTCTTTTTTTCTTTGGTAATTAAGTAGAGAAGATGTGGTCCAGTTCTATCTGCTAGCTTTAGCAGTGTAAAAATTAAATGACTAAGAAATCTCATTGCTTGAGTGTCTTTATTTGGGGCAGGGAGCATAGAAAACGAGAGGTATAAGGAAAGATGGGTTTAGAAGATTATTTTTTACATCCAGGAGTAGCTAGATTGTGTTGCCCTTTTGTATGTTAAAAACTTACATATGACTACCAAAATACTTTTAAAGTCTTTGCTTTTTACTAGCATTTTACAGTTCGTTTTTTCTTAGTTACATTTTTTTTCTTCCTGACAGATCTTTCTTGCTTTTCATTGCCCAAGGCATTAAGAATTCTCTCTCACCTGATGAGCTAAAGACACCACCTGTAACAACTGCGAAATAGAGCATCGCCGACCTCCCCTTTCAGTGAGTAGTCACAACTTCAGTTTTGTATGTTGTTTTGCTCTGAGATGTGTTTATATTGTCGACCAAAGTGCTTCCATCTAGGCTTGAAAAACACCTAGAAAGATCTCTGCAGGAAAGTGTTTTTGTAGAGGAAGGCAATTTGTCTCAGCACTTTCCTTTACAGAATCTACTTCAGTCTTTTCCAGCCCAACTGTATTACTGCAGAATGCTTCACTAAGAGAAATATGCCTTTTTCCTACCTGCCTGGATTTGCTGGAGTTGCCCATCCTGACAAGTTCAGGATCAAAGGAGGATGTTAAGAACTTACTGCTCCTAGCATCAAAAGAATTTTTTCTTCACTGAAGCGGGCCTTTTATTCAGATTTTCAACACAACAAAAGCTACTTAGTCTATATGAATGACTGCATATCATAAAGTTGTAAATCTGCATATCCTATAATATATGATGTGCAAAGAAAAGATAAACAAAGAGAACCGCCTTTCAAATTATCTGTTCTTTTGTGGTGTCACTAACTGCTGGACAGAATGCTCACAAGACACCCTATAATTTAATTAATGTTGTACATACACTGAGGGAATTAATGTAATTACATATAGTAATACACTTATCCCAATGTGTCCAGCAGAGGAAGTAGTCTATCTTGCTTAGGAGCAGCTCAAGAGTAAAGGAAATAGAACCCTCAGTTGATTGATTCCCATAACAAAATTAAAACTGTGTTTAGGGTTTTTTTTTTTAATTTTGAGCTTTTTATTCTCTTGCAAATTTTTATTTTACCAAACACAGTTCTTACTCCAGCCACTAAATTCAGTGGCAGTATTTCTTTAAGAAACTACTTATAGATTGTGCCTCTTGTAAAATAAGCCTTTTAATTGGAGCTGTTTAATATGGTATTTTAAATTGTATCGCCTGTCATCCAAAGCATGGCAAAGTACTGTTTTTTACATACGGCAAGCACCAAATTCCAAGCAAATTCGCACTTTAAAAATCAACACATTCTTCTGCATGGTTTACGATGGGTCAATTAGTTGTCATCAGATATTTTCTACTACAAGGTTATTTTCTCACTCCATGACTCTGTATTTCTTCAGTTTCTAGACCATTAAGATCTGTGCTCCCTACTTCTAAATTGTTCTAAGTGCTTGAATCTTTGAATTTTCAAAATTTATACAGTATAAGAAAATTAAAATGAGAAAAACAGAAGTGCTTCAATATAAGTAATTCTTCCTATTGGGAAAGAAAGTCTGGTCAGATTGTGGAGATACTTTTTATTTGTTTTTATTTTTTTTACAAGTCTGAGTTTCATGACTGTTTTTTGCCAATTCCATATAACTAGAAAAATAAAATAAGGGATTCCTGAAAATTGGTTTTACTTTTATAAAAGTATCTATATACTGTATGTAAGAGTTCATCTATTTTTTCTAAGGGATCTTCATTGCCCATCTTAAAATACTTAAAGAACAGATTGACAAGTACTTCTCATACCAATTTCCTGGAGAACAAACAAGCAGTGATAAAAGGTGGTGGTCCAGAGGCTCTCGCTTTTGCTCTGTAGCTCAACTGCAGTTTGTCAGGAAAAGGTTGCAGAAGTAAGTCCTCAGTGAAAATTTCAAACCGCTTAACAGCTCAGTCTCAGAATCCCCAGCTGTAGCCCTGTGTAGGTAGGGCTGGTTGGTTTGTTTGGTTTTGCTGCCTATTTTTTTATGAGGGAACCTGAATAACACCAAGTGATCTCCCAAGGTCAGACAGCAGGTCAGGAGCAAAGCTGAATGTGGAATCACATTCGTAATTCCCTGCAGTTATGGGGGTGGAGAATGTGTCCATTTAAACCTCTCAAAATGGTGGCTAGATACTGTATATTGCTTTTTTACATTGCTCTGGAAAATATTGAGAACAGGAAGGATTTTCAGGTGCTGAGGAAAAAAAGGTCTGTCCTGCTGTTCCCCATTGTATGGCTGAGAGAGCTGGCTATGGGTTTGATTTGAGTGGAGACAGGAGAGGTTAAGGCTGTGATGTTGGAGGAGCAGAGCCTTCCTTCACTACCAGTGGGGTGGTGGCTTAAGGGGATTCCCTCCAGATCCTCCATCTTAGAGAGGAGTCCTCACACACCCCCAGGACGGGGGAAGAACATAACTACCACAGAAGGTGGCATGCAGTATATTGTTTCAGCTGATCAGGGATTTTATTGTGGGGGGTTTGGGAGATGTTCTGTCTTTACATGCCACGGTGGATTTTCCTTAGCTGCTGGTTTGGGGTTGGGAATTTGCCCCGAGTTCTGTCCTGGGTGCGGGTGACATCGCTTGTTTTCAGCCTGTCAGAGAGACTGTTGTTGACTTTGGTGTTGAACCAGTACCGTCTGTTCTTTATTTCCCTCATTAAATTTGTGTTCCTGTGGGTTGGTGGTGTGATGTAGAAGTGCTGGTAACTTCTCAATTACTTCCCTTTTGTGTTGTTAGCCCAGCCTCTGAGCACGGCCTGTTTCTGCCTTTTGATTTATTCTTCTTTATACAACTGACAAAGACTCGCCATCAGTTCCCAAACAAATATTGAGACTCATTTCTCTCCATTGTGTCCTTCTCCAACAACTTCTGTGTTATTCAGAGGCCATTGCTGTGGCATCAATGTTTCAGCATATTTGTTACGTTTGCTTTTTGGTTTTGGGTTTTATTTGCTTCCTTTTCAACAAAGGCTGCTATCATCCCATCATGGTGGATCAAAGCCTTTAGAAAGTAACTACCTTAAAGAAAGAACAAGTTTAAGTTCTTGAACAAAACCCTCCTGACTTATCCTCAAGGGGGGAATCAGTTTCTTAGCTTTACACATCTTGATTGTAAATTTCCGTCTTCTGTAGTAATGGGAAGAAAACAGCCTCTCAATCACTGCCACCTTCAGTGCTTTTCTTAGTCCTGGGAGTTGCAAGATTCAAAATTTTTTGTACTTTTAGGGCTGCCACTCTCCGTAAAAGATCATATTCTGTATGGTCTCAAAACCTTCTGTAAACTCACATTGGTATGAATAATCAAAACTACCTAAGAAAATTGCTGAAGGAGCCCTCTTTTTACTATCGGGCTTACTTGCCCCTCTTGACTGTATTTGATTCGTTAGTTTCCAACGATTTTTAAAGAGAACAAAAGGATGCAAAATAATGTAAAATGTTCATGGATCTTCTAAGAGACAGGATCCATCACCACGGTAATGCTCTGGTTTTGAGCCTAAAGATCAAAGACTTGTTTGCACGGTTTCTGCCAAATTCCAGGGCTATTTCTGCCAATTGCACCTACCTTTGTATCCTGTGCTATGTTTGGCCAGCTCCTGAGAGATACCTTCAGTGAGACTTAACAGTAATTTCTAGTGTGCTTCTGCTTCCTGATTTTCATAATTGTTTAATTTTCTGGCTCCTTTCTGGTGTAATTCTGTGCTTACAGACTCACCTCTTCCTCCGAAAAACCCCAAATCGCAAACAACTAAAAAACACCAAAATGCCAACAACCAAAAAACTTTCCCGCAAACCCCCAAGCTCTGCTTCTGCTGAATGGATTCAGTTCCATGAGACTGCATAAATGTACTTCTTTGTGTCTTTTAAATATACAAAATATCATTTTGCTGCAATAGTAGTCAATAGAGGTGGGGGGAAAAGTCTATATTCCCTAAATATGTAGCCTTATAAACAATTTCAGTTTTAAGTATGCTCTTATCCTTCCCTAAAGCAAATTATTTCCTTTCCATTGATTTTTTTTTTTTTTTTGTATACTTGTGTTTTTGAACAGTTGTGTCTTTTATTTCCTAAGCAGCAACCTCACAATCACAATTTGATAAATAAAATATTTGCACTCAGAAATGGAACCACAAAACCAATGTAACTTCTGCTATTGATTTTTCTCCTGCGTAACTATTTTGGCAGCAAAGGCAGAATACCATCCTGTGTAAGCATAAAACTTACTTAGAGTAAATTACTCTAAATTATAAACTAACCAATAAATCAGTATTGCTACAACATTTTCCCATTCCTTACCCCTTGCCTAAAATCTGTATGCTAAATAAGAAACAATGCATTGGAAAATTGTTTGGTGTTTGTTTGTTTTTTTTAACAAATAAAGTAAAATGGATGCTTCCTGGAATTATCAGCAGTAGTTCAGCATGATAATGAAAAAGCAAGGATATATATTCAATTAAAATGGATTGTAGTAATATGAATGATGATTAGAGAAGTAGGATTAAGATGTTACCCATGCTTTTGTAAATTGTGCTGTATCAGCAATTACTTGTTTTACTAAAATATATTTTAAGGAAGAAGAGACAGTATTTCTTCACATTTCTGTCTTCGTTATGGAGTTTAGTGGAATATTAATGGGGTCTAACCTATATAATTTTAGGAACAGCTTTAAATTTATCAGGACTTATGCCCACACATTGGCCTTAGCACTGCAAAAATACTTGTTGGGAAAGAAATTTATTTAGCAGCATTTCTTAAGACCCAAGATTTGATTTGTGGAAATAAATGAAACACTGTCATTTCTCAAGTCCTGCATGAATAGATGAGAAATTGAATCTTATTTTGGATAAATTCAGGCCTCTGTCAGATGTATGAAAGATGGGAATAATTCAAGCAGAACAATATGTCTAGAAAGATTTACAGAAGGAAAAAAAAACAGGATTACCATATCTTAAAATATTTTTAGTGGACTCTAGATATGAGTAGTCAGAGTGAGAGGCTGTAATGAGGAAAACTAACTGTAAAAAAATAAATACAAAATTATCCCTAAATGTCAAGTAAGAATGTACTGGCAAAGACAACTAGATATTTGAAATCCTAGATTCTTGACTGATGACTGTGTAGCATACAAATTTGAATGTTGATAAGTAGATGCTGATAGTTTTTGGTGTTTTATAAAGATTCTCTTGTAGTTAGGTATAGATTTTACTAACAATAATCTGTATTCTGTGCCATGAAGTTGTATAATTTATATTTCTTTCATATACTTCAGTGAGATACGAGCTTTTGT